TGTTTCCTGGCAGTTTGCATAACTCTTTACTTCAAGTATAGCTACTTGGACCACAACATAGCAACCTATTTTTGGATTCCCCCTTTCTAGCAAATTCACATGCAAGGGATTGATTGTGTAATCTCTATTCATGTTTAGTTGTATTTTACAAGGGGACATCATCCCATATTAACCAGTGGATCTGCCCTTGTATAAATATACGACTACAGCCTGTGAAAGGAGACAGAATCAGGCCCTAAACTATAGATGTGCCCCACTTGATGGCTTCTTTGCCAGTAAAACATATAACCTGATAGCCTCACTGTGCACCAGCTTTCCAAAACACACACACCAGTCCATCTTTCAGGCGTAGGTGTCCCCAGCAGCTATACACTGGAAATTTATTCTGAGGACCTACTAAAAGGCCACACATACATTCTTAAAATTGATACGTGGCAATTGGCCCTACAGCTTACCCCCAGCCTAAGAAGTTCCTCTCTAAAGCCTGGTGGTCACAGAGACTTTTCCAGTGCATAAGGCTCTCTTCAAAATCACTGAAGCAGTAACTGAATGCACACAATGGTGTGCACCTGCAGTGCAGGTGGGACTGCACTTTGGAGGTCTTCAGTGCTGGGGGTGAAGTTCCTATTAAGCAAAGGCAGCTTCACCCAGATGTGTGCATTCAGGTGCAGTGTCTGACTGACTGCAGCGGCTGCTGACTGCACTACCTTCTTTTGGGGTCCACTGGGTGTATCTTGGTGAGTGAGAGCGTTTTGGGGGAAACAGCATTCCCTTCTGAAAGCAAGAAACCCCTCAGTGCACCAGTAACTAAGTCTCACCTATAGCCAAGGATCCAAGGTTACTGGCATGACACTATTTACATGCCATTGGCTCCAGCCACACAGGAGTTGACTGGTACAGAGAGGGCTATGCAGTTTAACTTGCAAAGAGTGCTACTATGCAGTGGCTGCTATTGCCTTTGCATGATATGCAATTATGTCTTTTTCCCAACACTGCCAAATGATGGGCCTATTTCATTCCAATAGCCAAAGGCTCATGATTACTTGATATAAAAATTGTCATCCTGTCTAATGATCTGGATGAGGCATATGTTTATGTGTGTGTATAGAAGAGAGAGAGAGATCTCTGAGGACATGTACATGGCGCGGATACTCCTCACAACAGTTCCTAGATAGCTGTTTCTATTACTTGAAATATGGATCTGAGACTGATTTCAGTTGCTAACTGCCTTATAACTTATTGTCATACTTATTCTGTGCAGTTACAAATATCTTGTATCTGGAAGCAACACCAAAGAAGTCTCCTTTATCAAGTCAATCTCAAACCCCATTATGTTCCTCTGCAACCGTTTCCGTAAACATTCAGCAATTTTCGGTGTCTGAGTTGCGCAGTTGAAGAAGTGCATAAACAGGCTCCACTGAAATGTGAAGATGACTGATAATGTAGTAACACTGAGACCCCTTGCTGTGATTATTACCCCCTGAGTGCTCCTTACAGAATGTGCCTCTTATCTCACACTGACAACGCTAATAGAATATGCATAGCCCTATTAGCATACAAGATAATAGCACCCTGGAGGGGACAGAGCCATAAAACTTTAAGTAGAAATCAAAACAGAAGGAGGGAGAAAAAGGGAACATTGTCACAAGCAAAAAAAAAAAAAAAAAAAATAGAGCCGGAGGGCAAATTTTGCTGCAGTGAACACACGTAGTCATAATTCTTGTGCTAGTCACCATGCAAATGGTAATAGGCTGTAGTCCCATGAATACTATCAGTGCCATGTTTGCTGTGAAACATTAATTGAGATAATGTGCCCCTTTCCGATGCAGTGGGGAGTCGTATGTCAAATTGTACCATAACAAAATTATGGCAACATCTGCAAGAAATATACAACAGTGATCAGGGTGCCTTGCATTGTATTAGCCCAACCAGTGCATTGCCTTCTGCAGCTGGAACCCAAGGAAGCACTCAGGTTTGCAAAATCTCCCCTTGTAATCTTTGCTACAGTGTGCAAGTCAGCAGAGACTAGCAGCTGTTCTTATAGACAACGCACCTATGCCTGAACAGGCTTAATTTTCCAATGCTGTGGGCCCTGGAAAAGGAGCCCACTGAAAGTCTTGTGAGTTGTGTATGTTATCTCTTGACCCTACTTCAGTCACTGGATTAAACCTCACGCAGTTCTTTGAGTGCAGGGGCCTTCCCTCAGTCACGTCTGCCCAGTGCATTCACATTTGTTCCATGTAACCCTCCATTGTACCAGACCTTTCACAGCTCACCCAGGGCTGGCAGTCAGCCATGCATTCATAAGCTTTCCATCTTACAGCAATAGCCAAAGTAAATCTTTCAGTGCTTGGCACAAGAGTGTGAGTTCAATAAAAAGGCTCAAACAAGTATGAGATGGCTTGTCTCTAAACAAATGACGAACAGTGTGCCTTCCCAATGCTCATTGTGGTTCAGTTCCTGTCTACAGCTAAATCCAAATAACCCCCAGCAGCATTGCTGACAAGTCTGTGTGGTGAGCTGATCACCTGTCAAGTGGCTATGAAAGTATCTATGCACCTAGGCTCAGCTAGGTTGAAAGGGGATGACCTGTCGCTTACTGTGAGGGGGAAGGGGAGACAAAAGAGTCCCTTTTAGTTGTCTGGATTATGAGAGTTGAAGCCTTCCGACATTAGCACTGCCTATGTCAAGCCCAGGGTAAGTGCTCTACGGACCTCTGTGTGCTTTTTCTTCTAACATGTAAAGATGGTGTCATGAAGTAACAAGTGTTGGACTCCTGTGGTGCGTTTTGAAGGATCCTGTGCGGTTTTGTGGGATTCTTCACAGAGTTTCGTGGTGGTTTCTATAGAGCCGAGCTCTTTGTAGAGTGCCTTTGTGGTGCAAATTCTTGCAGCTTGTGTGAGTTTTCCTCACTTTATTGGACTGGATGTCACTTTATGTTGATAATTTCAGCAATTAGGATGCAGCTTGGGAAAGATGTTAGCAAAGAATATCAAAGTATCCTGGAGAAAGAATGGAAAGCTCAGTAAAGACTGCCCTTAAATGGGGTCTGCCTGTCCCCCTCTACTAGAAAGAATCTGTACTGGCTCAGAGAACTTCAGGTACTACCACAAATAATGATTTTGGAGATTTGCGAGGGGTATTTTGATGACTGCTGCCTCCAATAAGGCAAATTCTAAATATTGAATAATCTCCCAAAAGAAATGATAGTTATTCCTCCTTTTTTTTGGTAGATTTTATATTAGCTTGAGCAAAATACTAGTAAATGTAACATAAAGGAATAAATCATATCATAGATCATTTCCATCTCTTACTTCTCTAATGCTATGATTTTCTGGTGACTTTCACAATCTTGAGGGACTCAATCATTTCTAAAACATTTTCTATGTACAGAAATGACATTATCACTTTGGACAAAGCTGATTAGCCAATGCTGAAGCATCCTTTCCAGAAAAGTCAACTAATGTCAAATTGCCACTAGACAGTACCTCCAATGACAGGTCATTGGAAGTGGGCAGATCTACACATCAGATCATGGTATTTAGCAGCCGGTTATGTTGGTTAAGCAACATATTACATACTATATTTGTAAAGTTAAACTACCCCAAAGGAGACGCTTGGGTTAAATTCAATGAGTGTAAAGTAGGAGCTTTCCTTTCTACCATCTGGAATTGAAATCGCTTTTATTTCATATACAGTACCAGTGCTGAGCACAAACCGTTGTTCCAGCCTTGGAGTAAGCTTTTATGGTCCAATTCTTGCTAAAGGGAAATCCTAACATTTATTGCCTATACACATGTTTTCCAATCTGGTGAATAAGGAGACCACTGAAGACTCAAAGGATTTGGAGTCATTTCTTACCTTAGCCAAAAATATCCTGTGGAACTTTGGCCAAGTCCCTTATTTACCCATTTTCCATCAGGAATGTGAGGACATACTTTTCCCAGAGCTGTTGCAAGCATGAAGCCCATGAATGAACGGAGGATTCAGGGATGACACCCAAGTGAAAGTCAAGAAACACAGACTGATTTTTATCAGACGCTGGTGGCAAGACTTTTCTTTGCTTAATACAGAAGGTAAAACATATGGAAATGTACTGAGATAATTCTGACAGATGCTTGTTAATTAAAGATACAACAATTTCCAGCCAGAAAGCTAAAATGCATACGACACCAAAGCCTTCCCCAGTATCTTTCTCATCAAGAACTCATGAAATAGTTGTAATGTAAATAGAAGATCTTACTGACATAAAAGATCGACCATGTGGGCCCAGATCTCCACTGGCATAACCTCATTTGAGTCAAAGCAGTTATTGTCAGGGTGTCTAAAGCTGCAGGTTCAGAAAAATGTACTCACAGAACTATTTCTTCCTAAAATGATCCATTGCACTCAAATTAGAAAGAACCCAAAGACAGCAATTTTATTTTTGTACATCAAGGATTATTCAGGGTATGCAAATATACTGACTTCTGCATTTCCTACCAACTGCATGGTGCTAATATTTTCTATACTTCCTATTAAAATCCTGAGAACTGGATGGATCAATGCCAGTGTTTAAATAACTATTTTTTTTCAAAGTGACAATGAATGGCAAGGGAATTGATGGCTTGGTTTTTATTTGTCACATACTACATTTGATTTGATACACATGAAATCCCATGGGAGGGCTCTTGTCATTCTAACATAGCTGAGAATATTTACTAGAAGTGGGTTAGGACACAGCGATCTTCGAAAAAATAGTTGATACAGGGAGCGATTAATAGCTCTTAAGTTTAAACGGCTTCCCCGGGCAAGATTCACCAAGAATGCTAAGTGCTTTGGCCAATGAGTGAATATACTGTCATCACTCCTCACAACACAAGACATCCAACTGACCTCTCTCCTGCCCAAGCCTGTTGTTCTCTTCTGGGTTATCCTTGGGAATAATTAACATAAGAAATGCTAATCAATTACATGGAAGTTACTGAAAATTTCATGCACCATAAAAGAAAGAGGTGCCCTTCAGTTTAAACTTCTGCCTCTTATTTTATGCAGGATCTCCCTCTTCGGGGTTCTTTGTTTCAAAAGGCCAGAAGCCCCACATTTGAGTCTTGTAAGCTGAAGAGAACTCAGATGCGAACTCAGGTCCCAGTTCAGGACAGCACAGATCTAAGTGCTTTGCAACAAAGACTGGACTTAAAAAATTCAAGATGTGCCTTATAAATGCGTCAGGAATAGAAGCAAAAGTTGGCTGTGGAGTATTTGTGCCTTTTTAAAGCTATGCTCCGACTTTAAACAAGGAAGGTAAGAGTCTTCCCAACTGAGGTGACTGGTTTTGGTTAACCGCATCAACTTTGATGCCCAAATAATTGTTCTACAAATAAATATAGTAATCAAAAAGCATTTTCCCCACACAGGCTTTATTAGAACAAGAGCCTTATTTAGAAAACATTATCTAGGAAAATCCTTAATAGCCCAGGACATGGAAGAAGCAATACAGTGCAGTCTGGATGTTGTTCTATATTTATTAAGTTGTACCAGGGCCCATTTAGCAGCAGCTCTGCAGTTTATCACGTAAATATCGAATGCCAAATAGAAAAGGGAAGAAAATAACAACATAAAAAATTTATCTTTTGGGGGGAAAAAATGGGGCTGATAATGTGATTGTGCCTTCAGCTGTAATGGCTAATGTCCCTGTGTAAGGGTGGGGTATAGAAATATTCCACAGCTGAGGGACGGGAGGGGGGAAAAAGGAAGAAAGGGGGGCTTGGCTGCTGTTTGTTTGTTTTAAAGTGTATTCTGGTTGCAGGCTAGGTCAGCGGGTGGCCAGACTGAGAAAATGAGTCCCCCGGGCTGTAATAATTGTAACTGTCAGGGAAAAAAGTCAAGGTCTCAGATAGCACTGGTCTGCTCTGACTTCTGACCATGGAGAAATATATATGAAAACTATTGCCTGAGGCACTCAGGGAAGAAACCAAGAGGATTTAACTCCTGGTGGTTTGTGCTCATGAATCTGAGAGCTCATTTTGCACTGCGGTGGGTTTTATCTTTATTGTTATTTTCATTTGTTGTTTGACTGGAGTGAGAGAGGTTTCTTTTCCTAGTGCCCAAACGGTGATGTAATGAACACCAATTACTAGATTAGGCTTTGCATAAAAGTGCCATCAACAGCACTGTAGGGATAATCCATCAATCCGGACTAGATATTTACAAGGGACTGATTCTGATGTCCTGTGCAGTACGGTCTTGTACACCTAGTACACAGGCCTGGCTGCCTTTGCTGAAGTTACCCCAGGTATATCGCCGTGCAAGTCCTTTGGCTTTACCAGAAACACTCCTGACATGAAAAAAGTCAAGGTCTCAAGTTGAGGTATATGTGGATTAAACAGGCAAACCACGAGACAGTCCACAAGCCAGGCTTGTTTCCAATAGGGAAGTAAATAAAAAGAAAAAACAAAACAAGAAAACTGGCTAACTTAACTTTTCTCAACACAGTGAACTATCTTCCTTTATCAGCCAAAGTTTGGGGGATTCTAAAGAAATGATCACAAAGATGTTCCAGTCCATGGACTCATCATTTAGTTGCTGGGATTACAGTAATTCCTGATGGAAAACCTGCAGGCAGTGGGGACCGCTTCCGGTCCAAGCTGCTGAAGGAGATGGGGCCAGGTATTTGTGCATGAACATCTCTTGAGATTTAAATATACTGCTTATTTATGGTAATAAGGGGGTGGGGCCTGTGTAGGTCTACTTGAGAGGGAAGTTTGCACACTTGACTTGAAAATTCCTCTTCCAACTCAGTTCTTATGGCCCTGCACACCGGCCACATTAGCAATGGTGCTGGGCAGGGAGCAGCCAATGACTTATGCGTTGTGCCTGGCAGATAAAATCCACTGCAGAATACCTGGGGCTGATTTACCATCTGGAGTAGAAGCACCTCTGGCCTGTGCACCTTTTCCCTGTAGCTAGGTATAGACGCTAGCTGCAGTTCACAAGGGGAGAGATTGTACCTCGCTGTATTCCTCATATGCCACATGATGGAAGAGGTGACATGGGTTTCTTGTATTTTTCATGTAACCCTACTCCCTTCCTTTGCTAGGGGTTACATGGGCCACTAAAACAAGACAGGGGGACTTTCTATGCTTTGGCAGCTGTTTTGCTTCCTCACTGGAGGAACAACAAAACCTTTTGGACATATCTGCCAACTTGAGTTGCGTTGCAATGTCTGGCTTAGGGTTAGAAGCTCAGCTCTTCCATTTGGTTTTATTTCGGACCAGAGAGCTTGCCTTGACTTTGAAAACCCTTCTCATTGAAAGCATCATCAGTCCACAGGCACCCCCAGAATATTGCTGCTGTAATGAATCAGAATATTCTAACGGGGAGGGGAGACGTGCTGTTAAAACATTTTGCCCATATTTAATATCCACTTATTAGTAAGGGGAAGGAAAGAGTTGATTTCCATTGCCCAAGCTAAAGTAAACCAACAGCATAAATATAAAAGAAAAAGTAATTATTCTGTTTTACTGGTCTGAGGTGTTACTGGTAACAGAAAAGAAGATTTTTGTTAGATTAATATTTTATGTTGAAAGCATCCTTAATACAGAATTGTGCAACTTTGAAAGGCCTCTTCTGGACTGAACCCACAGTCCTTGCGCATAGTATAGTCAATATGATGTTTCAAAAATACCATGCTTTGGTCCAGAGGATGAGAGCTTTACCATTAAAATAAGACTGAGAAAATACAGCCAGTTGCTTACACAGCAGCTAAGCAACTCACTTTTCCCCAAGATCTGACAAAAGGGCCCACCAGGTCCCATCCATGATGTGTGAAGAGTGAGTATGTCTCGTGGAGGAAATGTCTGAGGATAAAGTATATAAAAATGGATGTTTCCAGCATATTAGAAGCAGCTTTCCTTCTTTTGTTTCAGCAGCCCCGAATCTCAGTAATTCCCCTTATAGCTCACTGAGTACCACGGAAAACAATGAATGAGACAGCAGGCCAAAGAAAGCTGCTAAAGCTAGGAAAGATGCTCTGTGAAAATTGGAAGTACTGGTCTGGGATCCCATTTGAATTGGGTTTTGCTCTCTGTAACAAGGCAATATGCCATGAGGTTTTTCATAGATTTTAAGTCCAGAAGGAGCCACTAGATCATCTCACTGGAGCCACTGAAGATGAGACCAGGAACCCGTATCTGACTACAGCAGTCTGCCAGAGAGGCATGTCATCTTGAACTGAATGCTTCAAAATGCGGAGACGCCCTGGTTGTTTGTCCCATTCTTTCAGTCACCCTTACCCATCAGATTTTGTGCCTTTGTTTTCACTTTAAACTTCCAGCCATTCATTCTTAGGGTGCCTCTCTTGTTGCTTGGGAAGACGCATATGTCCCATAATCAAGTTGCTTCTTGATCTTCTCTTGACAAGGACAAGGTAATGGCTCCAATTTGAGAATCAGGAGCTGCGGTCTCTGGGCACAGGCATAAGCCCAGCCAGGAAGCAAGATCTAAGGCTGCCTGCTTTTCAAGCATTCAGGAGAGACCCACAGTCAGTGAAGCGGTAGTGTCACTCCTCCTCCAGCTGCAGAATGCAAAACCTTGCTCTGTATTTTTTTTAACCTTTTTGCATCTTGTATTTCTTAATCAACCCATGCTGAGGGATGGGACTTGGGGCTGGAGACTCTCCCCACAGGCAGACTTGGCGAAACCACTGGCATAGTTCATGACTGGATTTGCAGGCAGAGAACGCGATGCCATGGGAAGGTGCAGCTGTGTTTCCTGTGCAGCCCTGTCTCTTCACGCTTGGGTGAGGTGCTGCACCGTGTACCTAGGGGGTTGCAGCAGCCCTACCTGTGGCTTGCTAATGCTGCTCGCGCCTGGACAAGCACATGATTGTACAAGCGGTTTGCTATTTTAAGGTGCAGGTGGTGCAGGCGGCGCAGGCGGAAGATCTCAATGTCACCACGAGGCAGGGAGGGAGGGTGTGAAGAGGAGGAAGGCAGAAACCTTCACCACTAATGTCAATTTTCTGCATCAAATATTTTGATAATTAAACAAAGCTGATCAAGAGAGGAAAACAGCATGTCTCCAGAGCTCAGGAAGCACAGGCCCATTAAATAGAAGAGTCAGAAAGTGCCAGAGGCGGCAGCCTCAGATTAATGACACTCCAGTAATAGATTTTCCCAGGCACAGTCACACAGGAGACAACTACTGTGTAGCCAGAACAGCGATGAGGCTGTTAAAGCAACAGTAACATTAAATCACCTGGTACCATAGGGTGAGGGGGATGGATGGGAGAGCATTGACTCCTGGCACTGAGGAAGGTGTAACCCTCAATCTGGTTTCAGGCAAAGAAGCTGGAACCCAATGGTCATTTGCCCTAGGGAAAAAGGGCAGCTTAGATGTACAGCCTGTATAAAGGGAGGTAAATGTTAGCACAGGAGCCATTGTAAGCCGAGCACAAAAATCTCTCCTGGTGCGTGGAAGATGCATTTGAGATCAGGGAGCGGTAAAATGCTATATATACTGCTTTTCCTGAAACTGACCCAATGTGTTTCAATCAGATCATTCTTTAAAGAAAGAAAGATAGATAGATCTTCATTATATATAATGTATAAAGCATCAGGAGCCAGTTCCAGGGCTGGTGCTGCTCCCTTGACTTTGATGGGGTTAACCCAGGGGATGAATTTGTTTAAATTCAACTCAGCTCAGGAACCAAATGGGAAAACAGCCCTGTTTTCTTATGATCAAGCCCATCTTATCTTGCCAGTGTTTGAACTGATCCTCCTTGAAATGTCCATCTTGTCTGAATCATTTCTATCCGTTTTTATAATACAATAATAACAGAAACGAGGGCTTCTCCTGAGCCGGGCTGGCATGGATTAGGGTCCCCACCACGAGCGCGCTTCGCTCACAGCCGGGATGGATAGAAACCATATGAAGTGGCTGAAAATCGGAAACAACTTTTTAGACGTACTTGAATCCTGATACGATCACATCACAGAGATGGGTTAAATTTATGATCTTATCTGGGAGTTTTGTTTGTAATCAATCCCAGACCTACTGGCGTTTGCTCCCTACCAGCTTGTGATTTCCCTGTGCTAACAAGGAAAATTTGGGACATCAAACTATCAGGGAATGAAGCCAAAATATGATATTAGCAGATAAAATCAGGGCTGGAATGCAACCCTCCACCCCCACCCGAAACTGGAAAATAATGGGCCTTTGCCGCATGTGAATTTTAGTGTTTGCTGAATGTGGCAGAACGTTGCTTACACAAACAAGAACGTGTGCAAATCACATGCAGTGGAAACCCAGCATTTCCTGGGCAAAAGCCTCAGGGGGGAAAGCAAGCAATGGACAATGGAGCCCTTTTGAGGTTGCAGAACAATTTCACTGTGGAAAACATTACCTCTTCTAACGTGGAATTCATCCCAAGCAGAGGAATGTGCACCAAAAGCTACCACTCATGGCCCAGACTCTTCCCACTAAAGTCATCCCACTGGGACTGTGGGATTTCCAGGAGACAGAAGCTAGATAAGCATTTCCTATAAACCCCCCAACTTTGGATAGACTTGTCATTCCAAGCCTGTAAGTGCCAATGACAAACAGTCCATACTAAAACACCAGTTCAGCTTACAATAAAATGACCACTGGGTATCAGAAGATACAACTTCAGAGACAACTCTCTCGGCCTCTCTTCTGCAGGAATACGCTACAAAAATCTTGTAAGGTTGCTGTGGACATTATAATTTCTCCAGGTGTTTTGCTTCACTGGGATCGCTTGGTCCCATATTTTTAAAAAGTTGTTGTGCAAAGGAACTTATCTAGTCTAGTCATAGCCACCTCTGGATACTTTTCTCTAGAGACTAGCATGCATTATTTTAACTAGCGAGATCAATTTTGTGTATGCAGCATGTGACTTGTGTTCAGAAACAGCTGCTGTAAAGATCAGGCCACTTTGCTTCACAAATGCCCAGGGAAGATCCCACTGGGTAGCTGAGCAAAAGGAAGCATGATGTGCTGGGCAGAGAACAGGCTAAGGAGTCAAACAGCCTGGGCTCTATCCCCAGCTCTGACAATGGCTCACTGCATGACCCTAGACAAATCCCTTTGCCACCCATTCCCCAGCTGTAACATGATGATAGTGAGACTTAGCCAAATCTTTAGAGGGCCTGGATGAAAAATGCTATAGAAACACTGACCATTCCTACTAACTGGCCAAATACAGATCTCTTTATTCTCCTTTGACAGACCCAAATCAAGCAAGTCAATAGGGAAATAACTTGAGTAAATACTTGACTTTCATCTGTTATTATTAACCAGCTTGGCTGAAATAGAAACCTCAGCAAACTAGAACATCACCCAAGACTCGACTAGAGCTTATTTTGGATAGTCAGAAAGCTTTGGTAGTTTTGTTTGTGCCTTTCAAATCTCCCTGGAGCTCCTAATATTTTGTTCCAGCCAGGATAGGAATCAAATATAATGTAATGCTATGAGTAAGGCTATTTTCAGCTCAAAACTAGGATAAAACCTGTTCCCACCAGATTTCCAGCCTGTTCTCCAGGATAAACATTCTGGAACAATTTTTTTATTTTTATTTTTTATTTTGGGGGGGGGTTGGACATTTATCTAAACTTCTATATATCTTTGGTGTTTCCCCCAGTTCTCAGTAATGACTGAGGCAGACTGAAATTTGGGTCAGAAGTGTCAAGCTGATTATATAAATGAAACCAATTTGCTTGACCCTTCTCACAGTGAGACACAAATTAATATACCCATCCAGATGAACTGTAATGTACAATAAGCAGATTCCCATGAGGGCATTATTTCAGCTGTCTCTCTTCCTTTCTCAGGTTTCTGGTTCCTTCTGGGTTGTTTTGAATTTTTTCCTTCCAGGTTTCTGCCAGGAGAGGGACCTGCTGGTCTCCACTGCAACAAGTTAAAGTGAAATAAAGTGGAGAATGGCTGTACCTTTTACATCCAGGGACATTCAGTCTACTTCACAACAGTACCAAAAAAGATCATGCATAACTCACAGGGTTATTTAGACTACACTGTAAACTCTTCTACTTCTAACACTTTGTCCAGATGTCCAACTTCAGACTCCTGAACCAAGTTTTATTCTTCCAGCTCAGTCAAGATGTATGCTCAAGAGGGGGGACAAAGAAAGTGCTTCAAGGACATCCCCAAGACCAACTTGAAAAAAATGCAACATTGACATCGACTTGTGGGAGACTATCACCCAAGACCTCCCCAAATGGAGGAAGAGTCTGCTGCAAGGATCTCAGTACTTTGAAACCTTGCACCAACAACAGAAGACAGAAAAGCTGAAGTGGCAGAAACAATGTGATGTGGACCAAACCACGAATCCAGAGCTGCCCACCCCACTTGAAAACAACTGCTTGCATTGCAACAGTCTGTGGATCTCTGATTGGCCTCATCAGCCATCTTTGGACCCACAGATAAGACAGTCATGGAAGAGAATTATCCTCGACTGTGAGGGATTGCCAAAGAAGAAGAACTTGCAAATGTCCAGTTGCAACCAGTTGTCAGGTAAAGATTTAAGAGAAATCATCTTCATCTGTATTCAGTATCTAGAATGTCCTTTCAGACAGCGTGAAGCCCTCCACTATGCCGAATTGTCAACTTCTCATCTCTGTTGTGATTAATTCTGAGACAGATAAAGGAACAAATCCATGAATGTTCCAACAGAGCCTCATTATTTCAACCCTTTTCAGTCTTTTTCCATATGGAAATTTCTTGCTTTCCTACAAACAAACAACGTGTGAACATTTTCAATATAGGAATATTTCTTATAAATAAAACCTTTGGTGGACTGTCTCCAGTTGCTTTGTAAGCCTGAATTCTCCCCATCCCTTCTGGACTTGGAAAATGTTACAGATCCAATGTATACTGGGTTAAAGGAATAACATGGGGGTTCAGTAATTTGTGTGAGCTCAGCCCAGGGGCAGATGGAAATGGAATCTATGGGGTCTCTGATTGCTTTAATTTCACTTCCGATAAAGCTAGCGATTAAAAGAAATCTACGGTACATTAAAAATCAATGCAGAGAGGTGTCCTATGTTATGTATAATGGACAGAGATGCTTTCCCAACTATCCAAGGACCAAATAAGAAGGATGAATCTGATCAAAGGAGCTTACAATAAAACTAAACCAACACCACACAAAGGAAGCATGCAATATAATCATTCCCCCAAAATAAGCAGTGTAAAAACAGGGAAACACTGAGTGCTGTTGGTTCCAAACCAGTGCTGTAAATCAACAGCCACTCCACTGAAGTGAACAGACTTACTTTGGTTTATAACGACTGGATCAGAATCTGGTCCGCATATTTCACACGTTTCAGAGTATTGAGACTAGAAATAGTACCGGTAGCTTGGAACGTTTCCTAATCGGCGCCAAATGTAAAACAGCTCATTGCCTGTACATGGTAAACAGTGCAAGAGAGATGTCAGAAACTGAACAGAAAGTCCAAGTGGGAACATAAAGAGCAAACAAGTTCCACAGGCAGATGGGAGTTGAAGTGTAAAGGGGATTAAATAATACCTATAAAATTTTATGTAT